CCCTGGCCCCTTCCTGTAGAGTGCTCTCTACTTCCTGGACACCATGAAGTGAGCGGCTTGCCCTGTCACATGCTCCTACCAGGATGCTCTGCCTCAGCAGCCCACAAAGGCGATGGAGTCAGCTGACCAACCGAAACCTCTGATACCCTGAGACCAAATAGACTCTTTTCTTCTTTCAGGTTGTTATTTTGTTACAGCAATGAAAGGCTAACTGACATACTTATGCTAAGAGCTTTTGCTGTTTGTTTTCTTGTTAATAAGCAGTTACTATCCCATAATGATAGACAGCACACATCCCCAGTTGCCATTTGTAAGTGGACAGTTTTTACTCTCCCTGCATCTCCCTCTCCACAGTCCCCCCTAAGATTCCGATTTTGATCTAATTCTGATATTAAGGCTGTCTTCTGTATATCTATCTACTCAGATGTCTTATGGGCACTCCAAACTTATCTGCATCAGAGATTAAATGTATTGAGTCTACACTTTCCTTGCCCTGCAAATGATGCCCATCCGTCAAACCACTGTCAGCACCAGTTGCCCAGAGCCTGTTTTTCCTGTATCTTCTCTGGCTGTTCCGCTATCCTCATCCAATCAGTCTCCTGTACCCCAAATACCTATCAAAAGCTGCCCTCTTCCCCTCGCTGTCCGACTTCCGTCTGCACCACCGTTATGCTTCAATATATACCGCAGGCCTTTATCTCAACTCAGGGAAGATAGAGTAACGTAAAAGTGCAGAAGTGCCTGTCCTCAGCCCACCCCAGTGTGCATGGTTCACCTGGCCCGCCTCAGCTACCTTCGCCTCTCTGCCTCGCCCTTTGCCCTTTGCCCTCCTCCTTCAGGTCTCTGCCTCACCTTTTGCCCTTTGCCCTTTGCCCTCCTCCTTCAGGTCTCTGCCTCGCCCTTTGCCCTTTGCCCTCCTCCTTCAGGTCTCTGCATCTTGGCCAGCTGGGCTTCCTACCCTGCCTTCTGCTTTCGGCATGGCCCCATTCCTCTCCAGGAATTGTTTTCTTACCATTTGGCATGGTCAAGCCGTATTCATGCTTAAAATTTCAGCTCAAAGGTCTCTCCTAGGGCGGCCTTCTCCATTCCCTGGTGTGGGCTGTGCCTACTTGCTCTGTATCTCCACAGCACTCGCAATTCCTCCTGTGAACTCACCGTTTAGAGCTTCTTACTCAAGGCTCAGCCCTTACTACAGAGCATGCACTCAGATGTGGGCAGAGATACTTATGTATTATTATGCTGAGTTTTGATTAAGTTTCTAACCCCACAGCTCATCCGCATTTTCAAATATTTATAAGTACTTACAAAAGTTCCTTGTTTTTAATTATACTTACTACATTACTAGCTCTGTCTAATGCTGTGTCTCACTGCACTGGAGTAAATGACAGAAGCACTGGTACAACACTTTCTCCTAAAGCAGGGTCTCTGTGATAATAATACCTGTATAACTTGTCATCAAAATAACAAGTTCGGAAGCAGCAAAATTTTCCCGAAAGAGCTCCATTTTTAAGTCTACACATTCACCCCAACCCAGGGTATCTTAGTTAAGGGGAGTAGTAAAGGCTTTATATCACACACACACAGCAAATAAGTAAAAAGTAAATAGCATGTCTCTGTCTACTTTCAAAACAGATTATCAACCTATTTATTAATAAATGTGACTGGTTCATTTAGCTTTTGTCTGTCAAGAAAAGGAACATGATTCTAAGGAGAGGTAAAAAAAAAAAACCCTAATACAATATTTTAAAAACAAAGGATGGATGGATGGGCCAGTTGTCGGGGTAGAGCCAAGCCACACACCAGAAGAGAAAATGGAAAATATCTGTAAAGTACAAGTCATTTAAATTCAAAGAAAACAAAAATTAAGGAAAATCAAAAGACCCCATCTTTACCATTCTGAGCCAGGATGGCAGAAAGCCTTTGTACAGGCTCAGGAAGCCTTCCCCTTGAACAGCCTGGATCAAGCAGTCAGTTGATGACTTATATAAAAGTCCCCTGCAAGGAGAGAGAGACTGTAGTCAGATTTCCTCCTGTGTAAACAGAGACGCAAACAAAGCCATCTCAGGAAGGTCGTCATGAACCAAACGCTTTCTGCTTATTTAGAACAAATAGGAGCAGCACTTCATTGACATAGGTTCTTCATTTGAGTGGAGGCATTTCCCTGCTGACTCTTTTTCCCATCACCCCCTTGGGCCTCTCTGAGTTCATTCCACCTGACCTCTTCCAAAGAGAACACACTATTTGATACTACATCACATTCTGTTACCTGAAAGGCATAGGCTCTGAACACAGCGGTCTGAAAATTCTCAGCAGAGTAAGCTTTCAAAAACGCTTGGAAGACAATAAAGTCACAGTAACTACTTTGTGTCTAAATAATATGACCCCAAATGCTTAGCATATTTGCATTAGACAAAGAGGAGGTAATTTCATACGAACAACTGCCCCATTGAGCAGGAAAACACATGAACACATCTCTATCACACAGACCTACAAGAAAGCATCCTTGAAATACCAAGCCTGCCACAGACACTCCAGCGTGCGGTCACCAAGGGCTTTATCTACCTTCCTTGTTTGTCTCGGGGTTGGTTCATTATTCGGCTTTTAATGACATCAGCTGGTGTTCCCAGAATGGAAGCCACAAGTCCAGAGCACAAACTGTAGACACAAATAAAGGGAATTTAAAAAGAATCTTTAAACAGCTCCTGAATTATAAGAAAAGGCATTTAATATTGAAAAAGAATGCAGTGCTAAATATTCTTTGAGATTAAAATTAATGCTTAATTCTATAAGGAGACAGAAAATATTTAGAGCATAGCCAGCCAACAGGTATGTGCCTCCTGGTGACAGGTTTCCTTTCATGCAGGGAATGAGAGAGATAAGATTCTCCCTTTGAGAGAACTTGGGAAATGGAGGTGTTTGTCAGGAAAGTTTGATGCCCTGAGTCCTGATTTCAGTTCCCAGAGCCACAGTGGAGGCGAAAG